TGTGTGACGAACCACTATAATTTGTTCGATCACTCGGACCACAATAAATCGGTCCTCGTTGCTAAGGCTAAACATGTTTCATACCCTGAAGTTGGTATGACCTAGCCAAACGCGACAAAGCCGGATACTTCCAAGCCCTGAAGATGGTTTGGGGAGGCTTATGCTCTATAATTTCAAATCCCAGCGTTGATTTGATGAGCTCACAATAAATGCTTCCAATAAAAGCAAGTTTGTTATAACTTGTTCTGATAAAAAGTTTATCGATGTCGGAAACACTATAAATATACCGATATCAAGAATTCAGATAAACTCATAAGCAAATAAAGCGTAAATGCCCAATATCACGTCGGAAGGCATGACTTGCTAAATATTCATTTATCTTTAGTCCGATGTGTTTTGACTTGTTCCAATAATATGTCATGGTCATGCATTCATAAAAAATATCAAAATCATTAAACATTGAACTTCATTCATAATTGTCATTACATTCAAATCAAGAAAAAGAAAATAAAAACAAACAACCGATGTGAAGACTTATTCATCCATTTTTGTCCCTGATGACGACTCCCCTCTAATTGTTGAAGATTGAGGGATTCCAGCTTCAGCCTTGCCTTTATCTGCAGCATCTAGATGATCTATCAACCTCTGGCTTAAGCGTTGAATCACCTCCTCTTCCTTCTCCTCCAAAGCTCGAACGACATCGCTTTCTTTTATGATGACGACATCATCGTCCTCGTGTAAAATTCGATCATCGTCGGAGGGGACTGGTTCAACCAACCATCCTTTGGCCTTGGCGTCATCTTCTGCCACCTTGCGTAAGGCGAAGCTGGTAATTGCGCCCAAGAGTTCTTCATCAGATAGGCCTTCGAATGTCTCAGCAACAAATGCCTCAGAAATTGTCTCCACACATATGTTTGCCATTTCGGGTTTTTTGGCCTTCTCCACTTCGAGAACCATATCAATGAAAGCCCGACAAATTTTAGCCTTGCGCTCCTCCGATAAAGGCACCATATCCAACTCCAACATCCGACTCTCCTTCTGCTTTAGAAGTTGGTCGGAAAAATCTCGCTCATCTTGATCGGCTGGGATATGAGCACTCTTGATCTCGGGGTTGAGGCGATGCTTCTCCATTTTCTCCAAAAGAAAGATCCGCAGCTCATCGATACTGTAAATGCCATTCTCAACCCGGTCGATGACCCAGCGTAACGTCAGCGCGGCATTTAACTCCAGGTCCCATTCAGTCACGGTATCTACATTCTCCACCTTGTCCGACTCAACCACAACCTTCTTACCGACATTGATGCCCTCTTGGAATTTAAGTTCGGCTGCGGCTGTCATCTCTTGGCGGAGTTTGTTCATCGCAACCTCATGTGCTTCACGAGCGCGGATCAATTCGGTATCTTTGTCCGAACGATCTTTTCTGATGGCCTGGAGTTCGGCTTTTAAGTTACGGAGTTGCTCGTCTTGCATCTTTGCTTGATCTCCAACTTTGGCCAGCTGGACCGATATGAGATCATGAGCCAATAAGAGATTTTCCCTTTCGGTTTTCAGCGCATTCACTTCAGTTTGTGCCGCCTTCAGCTGGGCATCCTTCTCCAATATCGACGCTTCATAGCGAGACTTCTCATCCTCTAAAGAAGCAATTGCACCTTCCTTCAAGCTCAGCTCGTGCTGCTTCTCGTCTAACTCATGCACTCTCCCCCGATAACTGTCCTCGGCTGCTATAAAGCTGACGAGTGCTCGTCCCAAGCATCCTCGGGCGTAACTAAACTTCTGATCATCGGGCAGAGATGCAACTCCGGCGTGAGTCTTCGGGTCCCACGAAATCAAAGGGACTTTCGCCGCCTTAACCGCTTCGTCGGGGAAACGATGATTGTTTGTGATTTTTGGCTCGACGACGGTTTGGAACATTGAGAACCAAGGGTCGAACACACCCTCTGGAAACTTTAACTCCGCCGCCTTTTTCTCATTAATCTTGAGGAAAGAATCCCTTAGAATGATCTCGGGCTCTTCTTCCTCCTTGTCCTTGCCAGCTCCGGTATCTTACTTCTTCTTCATCCTCTCGGCCATATGTGACACGCTGGATCTCTTGCGCCGTTGGACTACATTCAAGCAAGGCTCTTCCGACACCTCTTGCGAGATGTCGGTCACCACAGTAAGCTCATCCACCGGCGTCATCACTTGCTGCAACGGAGCAACATCAAGGGGCGTGATGTCGGCAGCTACTGGCTCATTCACGATAGCCGGTGTTGGCTCCACCCTTGTCGCTGAAGGCTCACCGACTGCTCCCTGAGGTCGGTTCGGGTTATTCTTCCATGCTTTCAGAAGATTCATACGTCCAGCCATTTCAGTTGATCGAAGGCTTTTGTTCTTCCCAACTTTGTTTTTTAAGTCTGAATTTGGGTTACGCCTCCGATGATCTTCTGCTTCAGCAGGATCTCCAAATCCGAAGTATCCCAGCAGTGGGTAATAAACTGTTATAGGATATCTTAAGTTAAACCGACATCATTAATATGAAGGATAAAACAAAGCAAGCGAGAAGTTTACCTGGTTGAAACGAAGAGTTTAATATCCCGGGAGATAAACCAGCTAGCTCTAATCGGGAATCTTTCACGAGCCGTTGGTATCGTCGCTTGTTATGGGAAACTTCAAACAGCTTGTCCACTCGATCGTACAGCAAACCTTCAAATTTGGGTTCTTTCTTTCCCGTCGGCTTTGCTACAAGGTCACAAAAGTCCACCTGTTAGCGAAAACAAAAGACAAGATATTAATAATCGGAATAGAGAAAAAGACAAGAAACTTACAATAACCAGATTTAATCGCCATCGGGATAGTAGTCCCATTGGCAAGAAGGTCATTGGCGAAGTCGGCACATTGCCAATCTCCACCAATCCGCAACCATTCTTCCTGAAATCCATGAAGTGTGTCAGGGATTTCAACTATTAACTCTCCGACTTTAACTCTTGGTTGAGGTTTGCCGACAATTGAAAAAGTAAGGAGCGGATCTGAGACTTGTCTATCCGGGCTCTTCCGAAATGTAAAGATACTTCTCATGTCCCTCGCCGATGGTAAATCCCATTTTTTCTCGGCTAAAAGTACGAGTAAACCGATAACCCGTTTCCATGAATTCGGAGCAATCTGGCACAGTGGGAATTCCCACTCTCTTAAATACTCAGTGATTATTCGTGGCAGAGGAAATCGTAACCCTGATCTTAGTCTCTCAGCGAACACGCCGACACCCCCAGGTGGCGGACATGTGATCCTTTCCCCTAAATATGGCGCAAATAAATGCACCGATGTAGGCACTCGAATTTCACCTCGTAACATGACGACATCGGTGTCCGTCAGCATGCTCGGTTCACCATGGAATGTCGGTTTAGGGTCCGGCCATCTTCTAATGGGTCTCCTCCAGTATCTAGGGTCATCAATGGCATTTTCCTCCACAGTTTTATCCCCCTCAATGTCGTTTAGCCGGATTTTCAAACGTTCGACGAACACTGGATCCCACCGACTATATTCAGACAACAGTTCCATCTCCCCGGAGTGGACCATATTGATCATCATGACATCCAACTCGTCGTCGCCAGAAGATGCCCACGATACACTCATGATGCGACAAAAATATGCCAGAAAAGATGAACAAAGTAAAGAAATAATTCTTACCACAGGAAGAAGCTCACAGATCTGGGATGCTCTGAGTACAGTTGAAAGACGATTAATTTGCAAGAAGATAAGGAAGTCGATTGCAGAAACAAGATGAAAGTAAAGTGAATCTCGAGAGAAGATTTCCTATTTATACTAAACCCTGAATTTAGTAACGACCGTTGGAAAACGGAAGAAATAGGGGCGCGTGGATTAGACGTCCTTAATTCGCGAGTCGACACGACCCTTGAGAATTGCGCCTCTCACCAGTGGTTACGTGGCCTATTAAAAGTAACCATTGCCCCTATCAGTAAACGTTGCAATTAATCTTAATAAATTGCGTCGTTTCAACTTTCAGCATTATTTCTACCAAGTGTAAAGACATCGGAGGAACAGCTGCAAAACAGACATGTTTCACTTGCTCAAGATTAATCGATTCTTGGAGAATTTTCAGCATCACTGCTTGTCTCTTTCAAGACATCCATTAATGTTGGGGGCCACCTTGTTGATATGGTTTTTGGTAAACCGAATTAAGCGATATTTATTAAGCATTTATACTCAGTAAGTTGGAGATTATGTTCGTACAAGAAGGAAAGCATCTTCAAGGATCCTAAAACAATAACGTGTCAGGGGAAACCAACATCTTCCTCACTCGAACCGACATCTTCCTCTTTCAAAACCGACATCGCATATCGGTTGCAACATGTCGGGTGCGACATATCGATTAGGACATATCGGTTAAGGATAATTGAACCGATATCTATGACTTGCCACGTCGACACTATAAGGCGGCGCCAACTCAGCACAAATCATCATTACATCTGTCCAAGTGGCATGCTATCAAGATAAATGGCAAGAAACCGCCTTTGATCTTTCAAATGTAATGATTGCATTTCAGATAAATGTTGTAAATTAATATAAAAGGAGAAAATAGATTCTCCAGCTAGACACGAGAAAAATAGACAAGAATATTCAATACACTTAGTTTTCTGAGACTCTCATACGTTCTTTGCTGATTCATTTAAAATACTCAACGTAATATTCAATAACATATAGTTGTTAAAAACCATTTAACAACACATAGTGCTCACGTAATTGAAGGGAAGAAACTCGCGCTCGATGTGCTTGCGAAACTTGGCCCAGGATTTGATCTTAGGTTTGCCCAACTGTCGTCGGGACTCCGTGAGGTGAAGCCACCACGCGATCGCACTCCCCCGAAGACGCGTGGCGACCAGACCCACGCGCTGGTTG